CCAATAAACGGCGATTTTTAAAACTACTATCATTCAAGTTCTGAGAACATGGCACCTCATCGCTATGGTCAAAAGTCGGCCGTCGCTTCCTCTCCCCACATTTGCATGGTGTACATCTCAACTCGCGCTCTGGAGTTGACAACTGCCAGAACATGAACTACGCCTTGATAGCAGGCCTGTAAATTTAAAAGATTCTTCCAGAGTCTGGTCCCACCTAAAATTGATTGCATGGCTTAGACATACACCTACCATATGCTAGTTGTGTCCGCATGGAAGGATATCTAAGCATGGCTATCCTGTGTCCTCATCAACGTTCGATTCAGGAAAAGATGGGTTTCGCCTTTTCTGCAAATCTACACAGCAGGTGCTCATTCACAATACTTCAAATGTATTTGAATTAGGCATAACTTAGAGACGTTTGAGCCGACAGTGTGCATTTTCGTTCAGTGAGGTCTGTGCATACCGCAATGAATTTCACCAGTCGAATACGAACAGATTCGCAGTGTTCCCTGTTGGCTTCTGCATCACAATATATACATGAATCACCACCAAGTTATGCAAATACGATCACCAAATAACCCTTTTTATTCAACCCAAAGTCTCTGGAATGACTGACGCTATAAAGCTTCATTGCTCACATTCGACAGAAACAAACTTCTCAAGACCAATGCGATGCGTAAGTTTCACTGCCGCCTGCCGCCTTCTGACCATTTCAGGCCTCAGCAATGATATTTTTTGTGAATAACTTTAACTAGCATGATAAATGGAATTTGCAGAGACACTTAGCCACAGTAGTTGACCAACAGCTGTAACGCAATTTAAGCTGATCGTACATGGCCATATTTTTGTTTGGATCGCTCAATGCCTGAAATTTTAAATTTGTTTGCTGCGCAGTAAGGAAAAAGTGGATTCGTTCATAGCACCCTGCAAGAAATGCGGAGACACCTCAGTATTATCAAGAACTGAATCTTGCCCCACGTCTCACGAACGGGACATCTTGGGGTAAAAATATGTTTCAGTGACCAGAAAAACACAAACTGCATAAACGAAAAATACATCTGATTGTGTCTATGAAGCGCAATTCACAGCTTCTAAATAGGAAAGAAAGGATCCAGTAGATGCACTCACATACTGCAGTTCATTTGGATGTGATGCCCTTGCACGGCGATATACTTTTGTCAATGTGGATCCTATTCCACATAGTAGCGAAAAGGGCACGAAATGCCCCGTGTTCTACTGTTTTTTGGGGGGTCGCTGCTCATAATATTTATCATGACCACTATGTGAACTGATTCAATTACCGTGGGTGAATGTTCACGATGTGGTCGCTTTCAAAAAATGTTTACTTCTACCGAATATTTTCTTAGCGGATTTGCTGTGTTTATGCAACGTATTCAGTGCAAAGGGCATCAACATGAAAGAACACTTTTTTGTTGACTTTTTAACAACGTGTAGCATTCAAGTTTTTTATTGCAGTTTTATTTTTTTTATTTAACATTGCAGCCCTAGAAGTGCGGCGCTGACGCACAGGCTCGTACCATGCATGTCTCCAAAGTAGGTGGAAAGAATACCTGTTAGGAGAACAAACCCCAGCAGGCAAAGCATCAGCATCCACGGAGAAGGGGCCCCTGTTGCAGCCACAAAGTGCGGTTTTGTTGAAACGGTCCAGCACCAGTCAGTGTCTCATTCCTGTACCTTTTGCAGTCATTCTAATGCGAACCCCTCCCATCTTTACGATCCCAACCTCGCCGACACCTGCCGCTTTCGCTAGTCGCTGAGGGGTGCGGCTTGTCCAAGGGGTACCCCTTCGACCCCACCTGCGACCCGCCACTGGGGCCCCCCGTGCTGTTGCCCCTCTGCAACGCTGCCGACAAGCAGGCCCTGCAATGTACCCCTTCCCGTCCCCGCTTCCCCCGCCAAGCTGCAACATCCCAGGGAGCTGCGACACGACGTCGGCGGAGTTCAGGCATTTTCTACCTCCCCTAGGAGCGTTTGTTCCTGCCATTCGTATCATATTTGCGACTTCCAGTTCCAACCGCATGTCAGCACATCCAAACTACTATTTCGAACTACGTAACCACGAACTACGTAGCATGTTCCACAATTTGGACAATTCCCGATGATATTTTTGCTGCTGAAGGGTCTGCCCACTGGGTAATGAGTGTCCTGTGAACGGAAAGGACTCGCCCAGCAACCTAGCAAATGGCTGCTTCATTAACCCAAGCTGAAGGCAAACTGCCAAACTCTTTGTGCATAAATCTCTCCCAACCGCTGAAACAGATCCACTCTCAATTGAGCTGGGGCTGCCTGTTGGGGGCAGTTGCACTGCATGCAGCACTAACCTAGAAGGAAGTTACTGGTCAGCCAAGTAATAATCAGTCCACCAACCACGCCAAGTCGAAATCGGATAGGAGGCCTTGCCATGGGCAAACACCGCTGCGACCCGATCGCAACTGGCAACAAAATGAGCCCCCAGCTCGTTGTAACGAGCCCTATGGGCTGCATCCAGCAGCCGTCCCCATTTGCTGCTATGCTCTGTTCACAGCCTCATTGGAGAGCTCAAAGCAGAGGTGCTAAACACAGAAGAAAGTGGTAATCAATAAATACTGTTGCATATGCCAGATACAGGATGCTTCGAAGTAGATATTGTTGCCTGGCTGGACTCCCATTGGCTCACCTGGCGACTGCCGCTGGCTCATCACCACGGCGTTGAAACAGGCCCCTGAGCAGTTGGAACAACGCCAGCTGTCGACTTGGGAGTTCAGACACGCGTCGAGCGCCTCACAAGCACGTGGCCTTGAAAACGATCAGTGATAGGTTCTGGCACACGACGAACCGAAACACGTTCGCAAACCTACCAAGAATGGCAACCCAATTTCCATCGCCAGGTAAATGGCCACGGCGAGGAGAAATGCAGACGCCGTGAAACACGCAGAATTGGAAGGCCAGGCGCATGCGAGCAAAGCGCCCACCCGATAGCAGCTGCCACGATCTGGCAGATGACAGCAGCCGGACCTGAGAACGGGCGCGGGCTGCTGCGGGGCGGAGGCTCTCGCGCAACAGCCCGCGCCGCCTTCCAGGCGAGGACAGGCTTCCGATCTCTCCGCGGTCAAGGTGCCATGGCAGCCCCTGGGCAGTGCGGGCGCCGCTTTCAGCCCAATGTTGTCCCTGGAAACCACGAATGGGGACCTCGACTCTCAAATCGCCCGGCAAGGCGTTCAGGGGCGGACTCAGATATTGACAAAAGCGCCTTCACGAGGCAGAAGGATTCGTCGGGGACGGCAGGGACGGCAATGTTCGCTCCCGGTGGCTTAATCCACGCCGTTGCGCTCGCTTGTTCGAAGCAGCGTCTCCCAAGAGAGGGCGCCTGCGCACCAAACGCTGCGCCGGCCTTCCATCCAAGTTTGCTGCACAGCGGAGGGAGGGCGTCCAGACGGCAAGGACAGGCGTGCTCACCGCAACGTTCTGAGAATCGCCGAGCGCTCGGCAGCGCAATCCGCGCAGCTGCCGCCGCACTCACTGGTTCAAAGCGGCGTCCGCAGCGGGGGCGCCCGTGCTGTGAGCGCCGCGCCAGGCCTTCCGTCTCTCGCATGCAGCATGCCAATGAACCGGTGCATAAGTGGTGCTGCCCATGGGCGGGCATTAAAGCGAGGAGGTCCCCAGAAACGAGCGAGGCGGAGAGTCTCCCCAACTACCGGCTTCACCAGCTTCCCGCTGTAGTTTGCTGCACTTCAGCGTAGCTCTTTCCGGCACATGATTCTTCCTTTTTTTATTCCTGCAGGTATTCTGCAGCACACCCCACGCTGGGGTCCTCACTCTCTGAGACGGGCAGGCGCAGGAAAGGGGGGCCAGCCGAGAGGGGGGGTGGGGCGCGGCGGCGGCGGGGCGTGGTTGGCATGTGCCAGTTGAATGCATAGAATTGACGAGATGGCGACGAGGCGAGAGGCAGAGAGGCGTGGAAAATGTGGTTGTGTGTTGGATGGCAGGGTACTTACTGGTTCAGACTGCCCTCTTCCTGCCCCTGGTCCAGGTGGTTTGGTAGAGCAGTGGGACACCCCACCAAGTGATACTCGATTCGATCCTCGGTCAAACAACCTCTTTGCCTTCCGCACTAAAACGCTGTGGAGGTAGCGTGTGCGGGCTAAAGTCGGAGTCGACACAACGAAATGAAACGCGCTTCGAGTGAAATGCGGCCTTGCCGCACGCGCTGGAAAGGCGGAGGTTGACGAGTTTGCATCATGCGATGTGCCGAGCTCGGTTCCGGTTGGTGGCAGCGGTCGCGTGACCGCTGACCTTGACGAACTCCAGGGCGATCAAAGCGTTTCTCCTCTGAATGCCTCTTTTCGCTGGAGGAACACGAATCACACGGCAGGCGGTGCGCTCCTGAGCAGTAAGTATGCGAGAGGGTTTCGTTGCCGGCAACCACGGGGAACATCACGATATGGGCACCCATCCTGGGCAAGAAGAGCGAGATTTTCCGTACTTTGAGAGTCTCCGATGGCAGGGGGAGAACGCAACACTGTGTGCATCACTTGCGGCAGTAGACGTGCACTCGGAGTGGCCTATGTGAAGAGAGGTGTTAACACGTAAGTGAGAAATATTGAAGGTGATGGCGGAATGTCAGTGTGCAGCCAGAGTCGAAGTCCCCAATCGTTTGATGTGTGATCCAGTGTTCAGTATCTGCGAAGCCACCGAATTGCAAAGCGACCAGGAAGCAGGATGAAGCAGGATTTCACAATGTTTCAACTTGGAATCCTGCAGCAGATGTTGCTCCGCATGCAGCACAACCCACAGCAACAAGCTTGCAACCGTACATTTTTCATGGAGGCAAGTCCACACACGCAATGCACTGACTGCAAATCGAAAAGCAACTGATACCCATGACCCCATGGGTGTACAACATCTTCTCGATGGCCACAATTGACACGCAGGATTCTGAACCTGCCAAACGCAAAATCTCACATGCCCAAGATGATGCATCACCACCCATCCACACTTCTTCAAAAGAACCCAGGCTTGTCAAAGTTCCTGCTGGCACGCAGCCTCCTGTTGTTTTTCACTTTCACTATGCACGCGCCCTCTTGTGCCCGCACCACCCTCTGCATCTCCACTGTCGGGGACCTGAACTGAAGCATCCCCTCCACCTGGGCGAATCGCAGGCTGCACAAATCATCGGGGCCATCCACACTCCTCACGCCTTTGATATCTGTCTTCAGGACGGTCACTCTGCCCGAGCTCTGTGCCCTCAGGAATACAATCCTTGAGGCAGTGAGCACTTCCACCACCATGAACATGCCTCTGTTCAGCAGCCTGTCTTGGTTGCACTTCTTCAATGCCCATGCAAACATCCTCTCTGCCCTATCTCTGTTTGCAAACTGGTGCCACTCCTTAGGGGCAGCACTGAAGATATAGTTTTGCTGCGCGTCTTTACCAAACTCCAACTCCACAGGTGTGGCACTGGACCCTCCTTCAACCACAGCAGCCTTCATCATACCAGCGTACTCGATCTCCACACCGTCAGCAGGGAATTTCTCAACTCTAAAGGCCTTTTCCAGCTCAGCTTCCCATCCCTCGCCCTGCCTCCTGTGGATGAGCATTTTCTTGAGATTCTCCAACGACATTACGCGTGTCTTCAGTGCACCACCCTCCCACACGTCACCAATTTTCATCTCAAACATGTTGCCATTTGTGCACGCATGGCCATCCCAGTCCTCTCGGATCCGACGATCGAGATTGGAGGCCCTTGATCCATGGCCAGTGCCCATCTTGGGGCTCTCTGCCATTGGCAAGTCCATTTCTCGGCCTTCAACAGTCCTGGGAACCTGAAGCATGCCAAATTGGGGAATCTCCTTTGGCCAATCCAAGGATGATGAATTGGAAACAGCATGCAACGAGAGCCATGAAATATAACAGAATCTCCCTCTTAGCTCATACAACCATTGTTGGCAACAGCGAAATTCATTGAGTCCGATCACACAGCAGAACACAGCAACGATACCACATTCTACTGTAGCGGACCATGGCCATGGGTTTGCCAGCAACCCTGCTGAGATATATGCTCTTGACAGCCATTAATAGGGCTTGGAGCTCCTGTTGCATGATTGTTTTCTTCTTTTGTCAGTGCAGCAATCTCACATCGGCAGTATGTTGCAATGGGAAGTCATGGAATCTAACATTTGACAGAAATCTGGTGCAGGTACTTGGAAATGCCAAATCCCCGACACTGCTTTGAGCCTATTCAATCACTGGTTTGGTCAGTAGGCATGATTTTGCACATATCTATTCTTATAAAAGCCCCCCCCCCCCCACCCCCCACCCCCCGGGCCCTTCTTTTTTCAACTATCCATTGCCAGCGCTTTTGAATTGCCCACACAGTTGCACCTGTCGATGAGCCAGCCCCAGGCAGATTTTACCAATGAAACGTTTCCTCTGCATTCCTGCTTAGCCAATGAAATAACGCAAATGTGGCATTGAGGTTCTTCCCATACCAACTCAGTGAGTTTCTCACCATGGCTTTTTGATGTGCGTCATCAGAACTGGCTGCCCATGCTTCCTGCAGCACATGATTTGGGCCCAGTTCAAGCAAAAGATGCCACACATACATGTAGCCTATCCAATTCTGATGTGTTGTGTCTATAAGGTTGGGTACATATAGCAAATTGTTGCATGCCTTCCCTGCCACACTCAGAAACTTCCAATGCAGCATCCCACACTTCCGCAGTAGGGAAAGAATAGGACCAGCTTGTGCAACTGTGGAAGTCCATTGTGCAGTACACGCGCAAAACTGTTGAATCTACTGCAGCACAGTTGGCCAGCCTTGTGCATCAGTAAGTGCAACACGGAAATGCAGTGTGGAAAACGGGTGCCAGTTCTCTGGGCAGCAGTCAACTTTTGCCCCATGTAACCAAATAGCTGCTCACCTTCTCCGCAGATCTCTGTGCACAATTTCTCCTTTTCTGCAATGCGTCGCAACAGGACCGTTACACTGCACACCTTCCTTGGGGGGCAGCGCGTCTGGATACAAAAGATGCAGCAGATCTGTGCGAGCCCCAAAAGAGCGTTACGCAACACAGACGCGCCGAAGAATTCAATAACCTAACGCATCTCCGCCATCGCTGCGTAAGCTGACCCGCTCGAACGCTGGTGATGGAAAAGCGGGCGCCAGGGATGCGGAAACGCCGCGCACTCTGCGGCAATGTAACGCCTTCAGCGCTTGCCGCGCGCAGTGCAAGAGAACGCCGTCCGCTGGAAGCTCCAAAACCCAGGATGCAATTCGCCACCAAACCCTGCGGTTGAACAATGGGGTAGATCTTTGACCTGCTCGTCAACGAGCTCGAGCGTGAGAACAGCATCGTTGGCAGCGCCAGAGGGGGGGAATAAAGCGCTGCGATAAAACAACACAGGGAACATCCACCCATGGCAGCGCTGGCCTTGGAAGCGTCAGACGCACAGGCAGGGCGGTGAGCTAACCTGGCGGAAGCGTGGCATCACGACGCTGCGCACGAGGACGGTGGGGGGTGGCGCCGATGGCGTTGACCGCGGTGGGCCAGCGGGTGTTGCTGCTTCAATACGCCAGCGGCCGGAAGCTCGTGGCGGAAGTCCGAAAACCTGTCCCTACACGTCTTTCTTGGGTTGTTCGGAGCTCGCAGGGGGCGCTGTGTCGGTGTCTGACACTGGTAATCAGCCTCTGCTGACAGCAGTCAGGGCTGCAGACATTCCTGAGCAGGAACGTGCAATGTGGCTCTGCACAGCACTCTTCTTGTGCCAGCACCACCTCCTTCGTTCAGTTGGAATCTGTCCACCTTTCTGGGCCCGACCGGCCCACCAAGTACCAGATTGGCACAAGCTTCCTCAGCTATTCTGGATCGGTTATTCCTCCAACAAAATTCCATCGTCCTCCACTGCTGCGCACCATGCTCTCAATCGTTCCCATCTCACAACCGCTCGCACATCCTTCAGCCTGGCTCCCAGGCCCTTCTGCCCTGATGCTGCCAATCTCCTCTCTTGAGGCTTCCCCTGGTCACTTCGCCCGGCCATTACCCTCGCACTTAACCAACAGGATTCAATGCCTTTGAAGTTGCCATTTCCTTCAGCAATCGCTGGCCGGACCCTAATGGAACAGTAATCTGCCGCGTTGATTGGGTGCACAATCTCCACAAAGAGAAATATTCAATCAGCATTGCATCAACACTTCAAAGCCACATTGCGACATAATTCTTGCGTACAAACCAGCACCAAGGCTTGCACGCAATTTATCTTCCATGACATGTTATGTGGATCAAAATCCTTACCATGGGAAGGTGGAGAAAACTTACCGTTCTTTGTTCATCAACCGGTGTCCAAATCTTTGCGGCTTCCGAGTGGTCTTGATTGTTCCTCTGAGTCAACTTCCATTAATATCAGCAATGGCTTATTTCCAATGCTGCTGCAACTGAACGCATAAAAGCTGCCACAGGGCCTCATTGGTATTCCTTGATTTTGCAGGTTTAATCGGGTGTTACTTACAAGGTATGTTTTAGGACCAACACGTTTTCACCATAGGACGGACAGACCATCCTGATGAAGTGCGTTGACTGACCTATTGCAGTTTTCAACACATATCCGCTAAGGAAGAGCTTTGCAAGCCACTCTCAATAGAATTTGGAGCAAAACTCTGGCTTTTATAATGTTGCACAATCGCATTTTTGTCTTCTGAACATCCGCTAGTGTAAAATATTCCAACGGTAGGAAGTTGATTTTGTTGAGAAATAAGATCACCGTCGGGATCACTTTGAGAGATGCATTAGGGATGAGGACTTTGGCATTCTGCTAAGCCTATCCGAAATAGCGCTGATAATGGCTAAAAGCTTGCACTAGAGCGCATTCAGTCCGCTTAGAAACTTATCGGTTCCACAGGGACGCTTGACAAATCCCAACCGCGACTTGCTAAACGCAAGATGCCGTACTATCTTTGTGGCCTGTACGTACAGAAATACTGCCCAAGTGCGGCGATCTCTACACCAGTCAGCTTATGATACACCAGCATGGACAGAACAGAATAGAAAGCAGATTGAAAACGTTTAAAGGGGAAACATATCGCAGCCTCCTTTCGAAAGCATTTACAAGAGTCCACATCACCACTGTTGGCGTGAGATGACGTCGTGCCAACTATCAATTTGTGAGTTGATCGCTGGTGTTGCACCCTATTTGATGCCGCTTTCGTGAAAGTGGCGCTTGATAAAGCGCGGTGCCTCTCCAGCGTGCCAACCACAACACCATTCACATCAAATATTTGCCCAGTGCACAATCAGCATTAAAAGGTGCAACAAAAACTGGGGTGGTAACGAAATGCAAAATGAGAATGTCCATACAGCCACAGGCAGCGCCCAAAGTTTCCGGGTTCTTGTGGGGATACCAAATGAAATCCGCGGGGCTTCCAAAAGAACATGCCCAAAGAGCGACAGATACCATCCCCAATTTGTCCAGGACTCCTGAAAGCCTCAATGGCCTCCCATGCCGTATGCCATATGCCTCCAGCTCGTGGCCAGTCTTCCTGTCCAGCCTCCCAGGCGCGCTCGCTGCAACCTCGTTCAATCTAACAGCCTCAAGGCCTATATCTTGACTAGCGCCGTCCGCCGTCCATCAAATTCTCTCCTCGTCCTCCACATCGCGTCAGCGTGAGGGCTCGCGTTCCAAAAAGGGTCCCTGACGACCACATTCGCCTAAACCCGCGGATTAGTGGCCCTCGTGATCTTTCAAAATCTCTGCTGGACTTCCACGTCGCGTTGTTCTTCACCCTGACGATGCAAGCGCAATCGCTGTTGTTCACGACCTTGTGCGCTTCCACCGACGGCGTCACGTTTCTGACCATAATGTCTCCGCGCACTTGCGCCAGCCTCAGCTCACTCAGTCTGTCGAAGACTTCGGTGCTCCCCGCGCCCCCGGCCAGCGGCGCTGTGATGTTCACCTTTCCTGCGGTTTTGGTTTTGACAAACACCACCCGAGAGGCCACCAGAACCTCCACCACGAGGAACATGTCCCTCCTCAACTCTCCTTTGTTCGGGCCAGACTTTGCGTTCTTCACCGCCCATTTGAACATGGCTTCAGCCTTTTTGCGGTTGGCAAAAGTGTGCCACTCCTTGGGCTTCGCACTGAAAATGTAGTTTTCGCCCTCGTCCACAAACTCCATCCCCACGGCCGCCGCGTTTCCCACTTCCCGCACCTCTGTGGCCCTGACCGTGCTCGAGTAATGAATTTCCACACCTTCTGCGCCCCTTTTTTCCACTTTGAAGGCATTTTCGATATTAGAACGTTCGCCCCTTCCCTTCATCTTGTGGAGGATCCCCTTCAGGGCGGCCAGGCCCATCACCCGGCGCTTCTGCTTGCCTCCCTCCCAGATGTCGCCCACCTGCGTGCAGAAAAGGATGGCCTTCGTGCAAGGACTGCCGCAGTAATCTTCCATTATGCGGTTTTCGAGGGTGTCGCTGCTCGAGCCGGCAATCGTCCATTGGGTGACGCTTCCTGGCTGCATCTCGGTGGGTGGACTACAGCTCCTTCTCGGGCGTAGACCATTCGAGGATTCCTGTGAAGCAGAGTGCGCAGATATTTCTACCAAGGCAGAGAAGATTGGAAGATACTGGAAAAAATGAGTACACACGTGTGAACATTTTCATTGCTGTTCGGGAAGAGCAGTCTGTAGAATATGTTAAAAAGGGCCATCTGCAGCCAGAGCTGGAGCTCGGGTGTGCAAAAATAAGTCTGAAGAGTTGCAGCCAGCGGGCTGTCCGCTCTATCATGTCTGCAGAAGCGCTAGAGCGGGGAAGAATGCGTCTTTAGTTGGACGAGGTCTTCAGCCTTTGCGAGGGCGAGGAGTGCATTGTGATGGACGTCTTCCAAGGGCAGTGAGCCGGCAGATCGTCAGTGACAATGCACAGAACAGTTGCGTTTCAATCGACTTAGAAATGCATAGTGACCGCACAAATGCGAGAGCGCAGCCATTCGCTTCTACCCACTCAGATAGGATGCGCGAAAAAAGGCAACAGTAATGTCATTAGGGAGCCTGTTATGCACGGAAGTGGCTATTCACAGCATTGGACAGCTTGCACAACATTTCAGCATAGAACACGGAATACAAACATTACGGCGATTCTATCGGATGAAAAACTACGTGCAATTGATGCACATGCGCAAAAACTACGTGCAAATGATGCACATACTGTACATTATGTCAAATTCAGTGGGAAGCTACGAGAGTATTCCTGCCCTGTGGCGCAGAAGTCCCGATTAACGTAGCCATGGGAAAGCAACAGCCGTTACTTGTTCGTCATTGTACGTGAACGTATATTCAACACCTTACTCACCGCTACGTGTCTTTGAGGAGGGCTTCGAATGACACGATGTGATGGCCCAGGATCCGGTTGTATCTGCAAATCGCAACCGCACGCCACAAACTCACGCCTCTCAATAAGACAGGCAAAGTTGACTGATGTTGGTGGGACATTGGCAAGAAATTAAGGGATGCATTGGCCTGGAGCTGCTCATTCGCATGAAAATGCTCAAAGAGAAAGAGCTCTTTCAGAATTCCAATTCTGTGCGCATAGAATCATGCCGAGAAGCAATTCTGGGAGCCTCAGCGGTGAGAGTTTCAAAGGTTCTTCCCACACATATCATCTCTGGATTTGAAATTCATGAACGTGTCGTGAAGTACATTGAGCCCTGCCACCCTATTGCAAAATATGCTATCGCGAAAACGACCTTCATGAGCTTCAGACGCTTCACGTCCGGATGTGAAGGGTATCAGATATTTGTTTGTTCTGTATCCTTCAAAAACTGTAAATGATCGTTTCTAGCTTCGAAGACATCGCAACAGACCAGCTCGACAATCAGTTCCAACCAACATTGTGCCGTTGCGCTGGGCGTCAAGACAGTGATGCGGACAGTGAGCATAGTCAGTGTGTGTTAAAAGAATGTCAGGTGAGCCACTTGACCATGGCCGCCGTGTAGCGAATTCGTACGAAATATGCAGGGGCGAATCTGAGGCTCACAAACGGTTGCCCACTGCAATTGCGCGATGAAAGCGTTCGAAACGGCTTGGTTTAATAGTCATTGCAATGCTCCTCTGCAGGAGATTTTCATCTGCCAGCACTTCCCTGCACAAAAGATTGGTTGATTATTCAATTGACTGCAGGCCGTGGAAAATGGAAATCGGCTTGAAGGGATGTCCACAAGATTTCCTTCCACCACAATCGGATTCGCGCTGCACATCTCGATCTGGTATGGGTATCAACTGTGGCCCGTGGCAATTCTCTTAGCTGCGCGGAAGCTGTCAACTTCAAGGCGAATAGTGTAACGCACTCCAGCGCGCAGCGAATACGGTCTGCGAAGCACCCAGGGGGCCTCACCTCTGCCCAATTCGTGGGCGAGTCGTCACCGTCGGGCTCTTGCACGGTGTCTTCCTTGGGTGGAGACTCGTGTGCCACCTGCCATTCACAATCAAGGATTTCAGTCGTCCATTAGGCACTGGGCAACAACCATACCTTTTCCATCGCCCACTGCATGTCGTGTGCAACCCAACGATGCATGCGTCCCCGATTCCATGGGAAAACGTTGGATTTCAAGAATTTGGTCTGTACACTGCATAATTTGCATGGAGCCCTGAAATCGGCAATCACAGATATCCCGCAACAGGCAATAAGATTCACAGAGCTGTGTATTCCCTCAAATTGAGGGAAGCCCAAGGTGAAATAGTGCGCGTCTCTAAAAAGACATGCGCATTACACCTTGGACTCCTTAGCGCGGGAAATATGGTAGGAAATGGATTCTCTTCCTCTATGATTGGCAATGGTGCCACCGAACAAGATAAGGATCCATGCGAACGACACATTAAAATCTGAACGGAATGCATGGGCAATCACAGGCTCTGGAAGGAATTGCTGAGACCCGGTGACCTGACTGCTTCATTTAGTCCGACATGTTTCCTTTGTGTACCTAACATTTTTGGTGGCTTTCTTCGCAATCGTTCAAACAAATTGTCCGAATTGTTTGTGCGCCACCGGCAGGCACACGATGCATGGACAAGCGCAATAATAATGGCATAGTTGGGTACGGTGTCCCGCACGAATTCTACCCTAATATCTCTGTATGGCTGTCAAGCTCCTTCACAATGCTCTCTGAAAGCGGCGGATATCTGTCACTTGCCATTCGCAATTGAACGCTTCCATTCCTAAATTTTCTACTTTGCAGCCTTGTCACTCCCTATGTTCACAACATTGGACTTGCATCACGCTGTAAGAAAGTATCGTAGACATCCAAAAGCGGAACTAAAAGTCTAAAAAGGTCTAAAAGGAGACGCCAACTGAACGTGCAAGTTCACATACCCCCACGCGCCTATGCGAATTCAACAGGTGGTCGGTCGTCATAATCACGTGAGAGCATCAGTACATCGCAAGCCGCACAAACATGCGCTGCGAACAGGAGGGGAGCTTCCCCAAGCCTTCTCACTCATTCCAAACTAGCAAGCAACATGAAGGCATCCCCTAGAATAGATAACATTTGGACGTGGCGCATTTGATCATGTATAAACATTTATGCGTTAGTTAACTCGCCTTACTGCACCAGTATCGCGCGCAGATTTGGATCCCTGTGGCAACTCTTGGCCTCGGGTGTCTTTTATCATATTGATTCGTTTAAGTGCCGTATTCAAACGCATGCCAATGTTTGCGTATTGGCGAACACACTCTTCAGCGGAGTATGTTCGCCAAAATGCAACCACTGCCATTCAAACTTGACGTGAAATATATATAGATTGTAATATATAATGGCCTATCTATATCTATCTATATATATATATATATATATATATATATATATATATATATATATATATATATATATTCCGCGCAAGCGCGACGCAGACAATGCGCATGACTTGTCGAAATCTCTTAAAATGCAGAGAGATTATAAATATGCACTTTGTAAAAGCGCCGCTAATGTGATGCGAATGCATGGATAAAGGACAGGGCCCATAACATGCACCAGCAGAAAACAACATCCTTGCAATGCCAACTGCGATGCCAGTTGACGCGAATTGATGCCATCAAATCTATCTTTACGTAATCGCAAATCGCTGTGACTGCGCTATTTTGTGTCAACGTGGCATCGCAGTTGGCCTCGCGAACATGCCGTTTTCTACCAGTGACAAGAATGCCAGCCTGGGGCGTTTCCTCTACCGTGGGTGAAGCGCAGTCAATTGGAAGTTCTTCTCCGCATGTTGGCACTGGCTGATCTTGCAGTCGAGGTTCAGGCGGACTGCTTGGATTCAATGGATCCAGATTCTGCGGATGTGCCTAAATCAAACAGAATCAACATGAACGGTAAAACTTCAGATGCAGCAAAAAGTGAAGTGAATATCAGGACGACGGCGCGGCGACGCTCGAAGAAAGAATCCGGGACAATCAATCCCACTCACAGATTTTCCCCTCAAAGTGATCACATCTTTGAAGATTAATAGATGTTATCTATTTGTTGGAATGACTCCAACATTCCAACATTCCAAATGGACAATGGAAAACTGCTACGCATATAATGCGCATATCAGTAGATAAGCATGGCAGCTGTTCATCATAAACATGGAATGTTGACCACAAAATAGTCCGCAGTACTCAAATCTGCACTCAGTGCGACAGTCTGTCGTCCCCATACAGAATTGGATATGGGAATTCTGCAGCGGTTTCTCAGACGCACTTGTACCTTCAGTAAATCGCTCCAAGCTGGCATACCCAATTCTCTATCAACTAGCAATTAAGTTGCGAGGCGGCTGACATCGTGACGCTCATTCTCGGGCGCGGTATCCCTATCTCTTGAGCAGTAGCGGCATCCCATAACTGGCACTATGGTAATGTCAATATTTCGTCCACCACCGCATTGTACTACATCTCAATAATGACTCCGTGAGGATGTGCGGCGGCTCCGGAGAGCCCCAGCCTCCGTCAACGGGGAAGACTTCGGCAAATCGGCGTCTCCGTGATTGTAGACAGGTGCAAATGAGCCATTTACGTCTGACGACGCCTAATTAAGATTCCTGCCGATGTGCCGATCGACTCGACGACTTAACCCTCCCCCTTGCCGACATTGCTTCTGACTGTCGCGACACCACCCCCTTCCGTCGCCTTCGGCGGGGGGTGCAGCGCCCACTGCCGGCACCCGCTGAGCATGGGCCCTAAACTCGCGAACTTGGCAAAATCGCTATGTGCATGTGCACATACACCCAATTCACTGTTTTGATTCACTTCACTCTTTCGCAAGTCCAGCTCACCAGATATAATACTGTATCAATTGATCAAATACTCGCATGAGCATTTGTGAATCGTATTTAGTTCATCCTGCAGCGTCTCTTTGCCTTTGCAAATAAACGAGCTTACGGACCTTGTTGCTCCACAGTCCTTGCAACTTCTATACAACATAGATTGAGTACATTCAAGGGAGCGCATTTTTTCGGGGAAAGGGCTGAGGTGGAGAGGAAGTGGATTGGAGGTTGCGCTGAGATGCTGGCATCTCGAATCCGCCGCCTGTTCAGCACCAATGGGCTGCACGCACACAGACATAAAGCAGACACTGTTTCAGGCAGAAACAATGTGCTTCACGGCATGTATGAGCAGATACCTGTCGCAGCCAAAATGTACAATAAATGGATTCTGGAAGCAGCAACAGGAATCGGAGGCCTCGAGACATATATCTCACGTGTGTTTTGCGTTTTAGGGATTATATAAATTTATTGATTACTATTACTGTTTGCATGAAGAGTGATCCACCGTGTATTTGCCATGCGCACAGGCGACAATCTGCTTAAGATGCAATAATAATATATCAAATTTGGATACCCAATTTGGCAAATGTTTGAAAGAATAGGAAGCAATTGATCATGCAATTCAATAGGGTGACAATAACGCCCTCAAAATTGCAGCATCAAGTGCCTAATTAAGGGCTCCTGGATTATTCTGCTTTCATCAAACGGAGATCTTCGGACGCTGCGGGAGACGCACCCTTTCTATACGAAGATACCACGTCAATCCCATGCTCAATATAGAAAATACTGCCATGAGTATCATGCTTTTCCTTGCCGCCCTTTCCTGTCAGCACACGACATGTCGTCGTCAGCAAGTAATCACAGCTTCCGGCGACGCAAAACGCCCAAATGCGCATGAGCGCATGTTTCCTCAACTTCAGAATGAATCCATATGGCCTTGGTGTCAGCGTCTGTACCTCAAGTAAAGGTGGGAAATGCAGCCTCTCCACGCGACATGTCGCATATGTACATAAGACTACAGAAAACCTTCTACCAGCAACGCACATGTTGATCACGTGGGTCAGCTCTTAAACTTGAAAATCAAATTGAGTGCCTGGACATAAACATTCAAAGCAGCGACAGGACTGCGGAAACATAGTCCACCGCCAGAGCTTAGCGCCACGCTCGGAATGCAGCCAGTCCCAAGGACATCCGCAATCCAGGAACACACATCAGCTGATAATCTCCATGTATTCCCCTTTTCTAATTTCGATTCTTTCAAGACGGCGTATGCAGAACTTGGCTTACCCATTTGATGGAAACGACCACAGCATTCTAAGAACAGGAGAAAAAGTGCTTGACCTTGTCATGAGCCCCAACCTCTGCCGATGTCAGCTAATCTTCTCATGTTTTTCGGTGTCTTTGGAGATCATACATTTGCGCATTTGGTACGTTCCCTGAAGATCCCACAACACATTTGTACACCTGGCACATTCGACCAAGATGCCACCGATTTTGCCTATGCTCTGAAGGCACCGATGACGCAACCCGTCACCCCCGTCAACATATCTCCGCCATTCACGGCGACAGTCCCTTGCCGACGTCTCTTGGGTCGGGCTTATTATCTCCGCATTCAAGTGAAAAACAGGTTGCTTGTTCTGAAGAAAACAGCGAAGGAACATGCAGAAGGGAATCCATCTGACGCTGCTCGGATGGCAAGCTGTTCAGATAATGCGCTTGCAGCTGTCTTACCGTGGCCCCAACTGCACAGTGTAATGGCGGATTTGAGCGTTTATTTAGGAATCACGCACAAAATGAGTTGAGGGCACTAGCAAAAAGACGACCAAATAACACTTTTAGCGAACACATACGTATACAGTTCATCAGTTTTCTGCACGCTAAAACTAAGAAAATAACCCAAAACCGTGAACTTTGAAGACGTTCGAACACGTGTTATCTGGCCCTTTTTCCCTGGTGAGAAAGCAGCGTATTCGCAACGCATCTCAAGCATACGCACCTTCGCGAAAACGGCCTCGTTGATCCACCGGATGAATTTGGGTAATGTTAAAAAGATGACAGACGCGTTTGCTCCACCAGAAAGGCATTCGTCAGGCAACAAAATTCCAAATAAGTGGTCATATTTCGCATTTCCTTTCTCTAAATTTCCGCCACCCTTGTCTGGGATAAACAGCGGCGATCCTCTTTCACCTGAGATAAACAATACATCGCCGGCACGGAATTTGAAATATGAGATGTTGAAATGAACGCACCAGTTGGCCACAGCTGAAAAAGAAATCCAAGAACAAATCTGGATGTATCAATACATTTCTCTGAATTTCAAGCATGCTGAGATGTGAATCTATGGTGTATAATGTGCGATATGCGATTTAAAACATGCTGTTCAAAAATTGTACCATTATTGTTTTTTTCCAATGTAAATTTAATCGACACATGATTGAATATACTAAAGGCAGCGCATAAAATGGAGGGAAGTCGATTTAATAACTGTATGTCGAGTTATTCTGGCAACCAGCACGGCCTAGCACCGGTGTACTCACATATTTACTGGTTTATGCGTTGACTGGCTGTTGTCGCGCCGTGTTTCTTTCCCTTCCAACATAAATGTCATGACCCCTCTGCACTGGAATGCGAAGAAGATATCGGATTCGGAGATGCTAGGTGCCAAATCCAGCGGCACTTTGCAGCAGAAAAGACTGCTGCCGCCAGCAGCTCTACGGCAGGATCGTATTGAATTTCGTTGTGGCAAATACCGTCGACTCATGTCAATCATCCGTCAAAGGGCCGCCGTCTCTCAGCGGAACTCTTTTTGCAGCCAGAAGCGCTTTTGTCATGACCAGAAAGCGAGAGTGTGTGAAAGCGAGACACGCTCCAAAAAAGGCCATATAAACTGGCAGTGATCTCCATGGCAAGCGCATACCCTTTTCTGTAGCAAAAGTTGCTCTCGCATCTGGATTGTGCATAATTGCAAGTTCTTCACTGGTAGGATTGAGCTGCTGGCATGGCGATACCCTTTTCATAACCGGTTCCCGTTGCGGTACAACAGCTATGCGCAGGGTGGACGAAGCAGAACGATGTGGGTCGAATCGTTTTCTAGACCAGATAATTGTTGAGCATGCAGTTTGAATTCTATTTTTTTTTGGCGGTCCTTCAAATTCGCAGAATCGCTGTGCTTTGACATGCAATCGTGTTAGTTGCGTCAACTGAAATCTGCTGATGAGGAAACATCCAATAAAACAATTTTGGAACAAGAGAAGTGTGCATGATGCAATGCATGGTAAGCAAGCAACATTGTACACCGTGTGAACAATAGAATCAAGAAATAAGTGATATCCAAAAAAAGGTGTTTTCGCAACGGAAGGAGATAAGTAACAAACGCGAGTAACGTTTGGGTGGGCGACTGGGCTGATTCCCGGAAATCATTACATGCAGATTGATTTACACATTTGATATGCGTTGAGTCGCCTCCAAGTTATATGCATGTGTCCAACAGTATTGTGTTGGGCGGTGCCTGCGTTGGGTTCATCGACGTATCGATACTGGTTGACTAGCCAGAAGACTCTGCGCAAGACCCACTCAAACTCCCAGCAAAACCTGTGAAAACATTGTGCGCACCTGTGAAAATCGATTTCGACCCTTGCAGAGCACACCCAATGTTGTCGCCATTGTCCCATGAACGGCCACATCTCTGTTTGTCCACAACCTCGATGTCACGAACCAGCTGCAGAACAGTAGATGTCTTCGTCGACTGCTCGTCGGTATACTTCCAACCCAGGCTGTGGGCATTTTGTGGGAGCGAGCTTTGAGCAGCTGCCAATTTCGCACACTTGACGCCTTTCAGGGGCTTCGACAATTTTGCCAGGGCAACGTCAAATGCACTTGATGAATCGCAACCTGTCCATTTTGGGTGAAAGGTCACTTTGACGATGTTGACTGCCTGTGAGCAAGACAGGCGAGGGGCGTTTAGTGCCATGCATACTGTCTGAATATTTACACCATTCCCATGTTCAAATGATGGAGCAACTATGCACATATATGGACTCAGGGAAATCTGCTGGAGTTGGAGGTGAAGATAACATCCGTTCGATCGCATTATCTGATGTAGCCGAACGTATCGTATGCTGGCGGGACGTCCTGGACCAGCAGCCTGTCTACCATCCAATTTGGGCCAACATTCTGAAATCCTAATGTTTTGAAGACGTCGACTTGATGCTTGCCCCGGCCGCTTCTGCCTGCGTATACTCGAATGCTTTTGCCAGTTCGGCCTTTGTGGCTGAAACTCCTTGCTGCTGTGAATCATGCAGAGCACTGCATTTGATGGACATCATAGCATTGACATTTATCTCGGCTGATTGCTTTTCAAATCTGTTAATATTCGAATAATGATTTACAGAACTCAATACGGAGAAAGCTGATGTGCAGCTGGTGTGGGAGCAACAAGCTGTGAGGCGATGCTTCTCTTTCCCAGTTCACAGTTTGCCACCTCAGCTGCTGAATATGCGGATACGATGAGCTGTAAAATCTAAAAAGTCAATGAATCTTGCAATCCTTTAATTGCCTGATCGAATCGGCAAGGAAATGCTTGATACAATCTTGAAATTGATACGGTAATGGTCTCGAAATATATTCAGAAAGTGCACTTCGGGTGCCTCTGCCAACGCAATCCTCTCGCAGCTCGTGATACAATGAAATGCAGATATAACCAAAGTCTCCATGGGTGCAGAACACAATGGAAAATGGGAATTTGAAAAACGCTTTTCAGCCAGTCCGCCAACACCAAAATGTTATTAGGTACAGACTGCGAAATTGATGCTACTAAGCAGATTTCATCAAGATCACCACAACGATGAGCTGCAACAGCTCGCCGCAAGGGAACCCTAACACGATCTATTTCCGACACATTGACAAGAACTACTCTCTACTGCAGGAAGCAGCAGAAGAGCCAAAACTGACTTGTTGTAGCTGAGTCCACAGTTCAGTATAGTGCTTCCGTCCCTCCAAGCTCGCTCTGAACACAGCATTGTAAATTGTAAAATAGGATTTAGCATTCTATTCATCAGACAAGACGTCGAGTTGAACAGGATTCCATACGGAATATTGGTGCTTGGCAAGATTTCAAGGATCCTGTGCGAATCCATATATCGCCACAAAGAGCAAACGAATTTGAACTACCTGTTCCCCCGGTGATATTCTGTCCCCCTCCGACATGTGGCCGCCAATCTTCACAACAGGGAAAGGGCCCAAAAGCGGCTGATAGCTGGGGTCAAGGCAGCGCGCAGCAGTGATCACGTAATTCTCAAGAATTAGCGCTCCCGAGCACACATGGTTACCATGGATGTCTCTAATACTTGACATCCAAGAAAACCTTGCAGGAGGAGCTTCAGTGACCTGGGAACATGCATTGAGTCCAACTGCCAGTGAGTGAGAGTGTTTAGACATCATGGCAATTTTGTTCCTACTTGGGTCACAGCATTTTCCCACATTTGAAGTCGAAGTTCCCAGATTTGCGTCAATATTTGTCCAGCGCAAGCAGGCGCAGAATTTCGCGTCCTTTCGCATGTTTTGTACATTGCCCTTGCAGAGGGAGTGAGGTGCAACGACCAACAGACTAGTCGTGAATTGTGTCATTGAAGGAGATGTTATCGGTAAACATCGGGTGCAAGGGCGACACTATGTGTGGTTTTCGACCTGAGCAAGAATGGTTTCTCATTTATCCGTTAGTTCTGCTGGCCCAGCAGTGATATCAGGATTGTTATTTACGTTTACGGAACTATTTTTGCTTCCGCATTTCTGTGTGTAGACATTCACAAACACAGATATCGCTACTTTTGGGGATATACTTACATATTTTGACAGTTTTGCGGGCAAATGATGGCTAGTTGTAGTATTTACCTCGTGTCCGATATGCCTAGAATGCAATTCTTGCTTCCGCACCATTTTGCGTGAATCCAAATTCTCAGTGGTGTCAGGCACAGTATTTCATTTGGCTGTATGTACGTTTGACACAACTTTCAAGCAATCCACAAAAGACAACAAGAAACCCCAAGTCGTGCGCAAGATGCCCAGAATGCAATTGCACGTAGAGGCACCCACATTACATGGTGAAATCGCAAACACTGATCAGCTTTCCACCCATCTGAGCACCGCAAATACAGCATCCACCTCGCCCTCGGCATAGGCAACGATGTGCTCGAACAAAAGGTCGTTTTCTGTAGACTCAAACACGTCAGGCTTCCGCTGCCAGACTCCTTGAGTATGTCTGTACTATTCTAAAGTACATAGGGGCTGTATTTATGTATTTCTAAGCACTATTACGCGTGAATACATAAATCCTATTTTGCGCATAAACAGATAAATACATGCTGTGTCTATTCCGTAAATTACAAGCCTGGGTGACTTTATGTTTCAATTTTGCGTTAGGAAGTAAAACTTGATCATACCCATCATTTTGTTTTCAAGAATATCCCAATTTTCGCATTCAGTAATGCAGCGATCGAACACGGCGTACCTCTGGAGGATGGTGACTTTCCTACAGAATACACACAACACAGATTCACCAACTGCTCCACATTTTGCAGCTGAAGAGGTCCTTTTCAATATGCTACAATATACTGCTGTGCGCTTCCTTCGTCCCATATTAATGGTCGCCTATTATTTTGGCCCGTTAGTCATTCATCAGAAGAATTTCAGTTCAAGGATACTTTGTGCAAAGTTGTGCCCATGAGTTTGGATTATAAGGCCAAAACATCAAATCGATCTGCTAAATATTGCGGATTTGCTAGCATTTCGTGCCTAAAGTCCTCCGACTAGGAGCCTTGAATTTTTCTCAAAATGGCCAAAATTTAATTTTGTTTCAGAGCTCAAAGGGGCCCAATTTGCTTCTAAGAATTGGTAGTTAGGTTGTAGTAAATCAATTTCAACGATTATGTAATTTGGTGACGAAGTTTCTCTTTCCAAAGAAGACAATATATATAAGACAGTATTAAGTACGTAGTATGTAGAAAACTTAGAACTACACGCGTTCGTCCGCATTTGGCTTCGCTTTACCTCCACTCAACATTTTCCTCTCACTCATTCACTTGATTAAATGCCTTCAAAGCGAGTTTCAGAGACCCTAACTGATTAAGTTATGTAGCACCTGTGCTGAAGGTGGAAATTTTCTTTGCCGAGCGTAGGCAATCCAGGGTAGAAAATCTGCTACGGATGTGTAGACCAATCTGGGCTCCTCGCATGACCGACTCCCAGCAGCGCTGTCAATTCCCGAGTCAACATACCCAAGGGATAGGATCCCGACAAGGAGGTCAAGGTTTTGCAAACCGTCAGCAATACCTCCATGCTGACGATCTACAACCAAGAGCGGGCTTCCTGAATCACCTGCATCATTGTTCGCCACAGATGAAACACACGTAAACCATTGCTTCGATGCAAACTAAAAGCTTCCCCATGTGTAACAGAATCTGCACTGAAAGCAATGCGCAAAGCTCTTCTCGCAAGATGTCGCCATTCTTCAGAAAATCCACAAACGGCTGGGCAATTTTGAAATCAAAAGTGCGCATTCAACTACATATGAATCCGAAAATGAAAAAGCCCAGATGCGCCATTCGAAGTATGCACGGCGCTGAACTAAAGCACGGCCAGTGTTCCCCAATCATGGCACCACCTCGATCGGGGCGCGGCGGTTCGCTTCTGGCCCTGACACATATCGTGTGTCGCTTGGCGTGTCTGATGAGGCGAGGTGGGCAGTACTCGATGTCGACGATCTCAAAGTCCTCAACAATCTGCAAAGCTTCCCTCGGCTCTGGATCTGCATCGCCCCGGGGGTGGGCCCAGCCCAGCGCACAGACCCTTGTATTGGGCCCGTGTGTTTCAGTGGAAATCATTGGAAACACAGCATCCTTCACTGCCATCGGAAGCCTTCCAAGGGCGATGTCGTATCCGTTCTCTGTTCTCCCATTCCAGAGTGGATGTACAGTGACTTCCTCGAATCTCATAACCTGACAAAAGAAACAGTTGACATGTTCACCCAACTCAGGGAAGGCGCTATGTCGATTTTGCTACACTTACGTCAACTTGACGTTAAGCCGCCGCCCGCCCCCTCCCCCCCCCCCACACACACACACGTTGAAGGCATGATGACTCTGCAACAATACTTAACAGTGGAGCGCAGTTTCCAATCGTTTTAAACGAAAACACCCTCGGAATTGCACAAATTAGGGTGGGCTTGAAAATAGGATTTGACATGCCATTATAGGCAAGGCGGGAGCTTTTGGTGCCTGTAAATTGACACATTCTAAAGACCTCCTTGAAGACAATTTCAGGGAGGTTTAAGAAGAAGTCGCGAATGTCTTGCTACTGATCAGCAGCTTTTGAGGCATCTTTCCACGTTATGTCGATTTTGTTGGCAATTGCATAACCTCTTGGCATCGCGGGACTGGAACACTCCCCACCCCACCCCCCGACACCCGCCTCCCCCCAGCCCCCAACAGATTTACCCCAATCGTAACAGAGTCGACATATTCTCTTCCCTTGCATTCCACAGCCACGAAAGCACCATCAGTAGTTACAAGTATTGTCTGATACTGTCTGCCACAGTCAGCCATCCGCTGGCAAATAGTCATAAATGCGATTGAGAGGTGCAGATTGTTGGCAGCTCATTTCCGAATTTACCCACAGTGTTCCGCTTGCAAGGCATACCAGAAAAATTCTGTAGCTCAGAGCTGCAAGTACACAGTATCTTAGCACATGAATCCTATAGCAATTCAATCTGCGAGGATATACAAACAAAGAACGCAAGATAATGAACAACTTCAATTACCATTTGCAGCAGCAGCGCTGCACATCAAGGATTCAAACACAATTCTGCTGCAAATGTCACCTCGACGCCGTCAGTCCAGTTGTTGTCGTTGATTCCGTATGCTCCAACATATACTATTGGATTCTTCCCTACATGCTCGGCTCCAAAGCAATGTGCTGCGGTGAGCACATGCCTGGAATCAATCAAGATTCCGGTGCAAACGTGGCGGTGGTTGCTGGCTTTTATTGTGGCAATGTATACAAACCGTCCCCTGGGCGCGTTTTCACCACCCTGTGGAGCGGGATCATCCTCTCATTCAGGTTCTCAGTCAGGTGAAAAAATGTCCGGAACTAGTGTGCTGTCTGGTTCCAATAGGAGAGAACGTGTAGGCTGGATATTGCTCAAGAATCCCAGCCTCCGCCGATGCTGGTCAATTTCGTAAATTTTGGGGGCGTTTGGCATCTAAGGCTAGAATATATGGGACATTGCCTGGCCATGCCAAGGAACATGGGGTTATTTTCGATGAGCTGATAACACGGATTCCCCCCTCCCCCCTTCGGCTCTCTCTGCTCTTCCGATATTGCCCACTCATTACCGCTGATGCTATGCCTGCCTGCAGACTTTGTTGGGGGAGTCTCACGCCCCCTGCTGACGCCAGCAGAGGTTGGATATTTTCTTGGGCATATTCGAAGGTCTCACATGAGACAAGGAACAGTCAAGTATTGGGTAGAGCGCTACCTCAGTACAATAATTCATAATTCCTCCAACCCACATTATTATCGCTCACACATTTAGCATGGTAACATCGATTCGCAGTGAAATTTTATACAAGTTTGCGCTCATAATTGTGGAGTGTGCGGTTAAAAAGCGAATCAATTCATAAAGCAATGCGGAGTTCGTATCACTTTTTGCCGATTGCCCTCGGCCCAGAACATACACTGATTGAAAAAACAGATGTTCGTCATCTGTCTACACCAATTTTTGCGATCTACATTTGCAGCATTTAACACAAAGATGCAGTGTTATGGAATGTGTCAGATGGAATCGCCATAGCATTGCACTGTACTGCCACTCCCATGGGACTACATGCGGTTCCAAACTGTATGGCACTGAAAGACACCCCGATGAGCATATGTACAGGAGAAAAGCTTACCCCCAAGTAATCAACTGGCTGCAAACAACCATCGCTGCCAAACCCAGCCAAGTTCATCTCACCACCTTGCAGAACACACAACAATGTAAAACCTTCCATACTTAATCAGTGAACTGCCTTATCGCGCTTCTGTGAGACAAGGAACATGGCTTCAAATGGGTTTTAGCAAGGCGATTTGAATGTCCAAGCGATTGGAAATACTCATGCAAAAATGTAACGTTTTATAGCCGTGCACATGGATTCCGGGCCTCATATAACATGCAACCGCAGCCACAGAATTTGTGACCTGAAGTGTACAGATGCTGTGGCCCCCAAAAGTGGCTCCCAAAGCAAGAATATTTTGTACACACTCGCTGCAACTTTGGTAAGAATTCGTTCTGTGTCGTAGGTGGTGACATGGCAAGATGTCTTGCACCGAGCTGGTCGCAGGACACAGAAGGGGCAGCACTGGATTGGGAATTCTTGAATTTTCTCTAAAGTAAGCTCATACCATGCATATCTTGAGTGCAAGATGAGCCTGTGTACCATCCTGCGATGGTGTCCCCAATCTTGAAGGAGTGGAGAACAAATCCAAGTATGCTTGCTATCACAGCCAGAGTCCCCACAGTTGCCAATAGTGACCTGATCGAATGGCGTTCAGAAGCTGTATCACAAAGCACAATCAACAACGGTCAAGGAAAAGGGATGGTGGCGACAAGAATGCCGGCAACGCAGCTCAAAATGCACACCACCTCGTGTGGGGGATGCACCATGCAACTGATGCCCTGGCACTCCTGTTGCAATTTTTCTCACTGAGGCTTCAGCAACCTGAAGAGCCCTCCTTATACAATCTGAAGATGTTTTGCTCCTATGGAAACAATTATCTTCAGTGCAAACTGTATCCTGCTCACCCAAGTGACACTTCATTCACGGGAATCACTGACAGAGTGCCGTTAGCACTCCCTAGCAGATCCAGATGCCCTGCCCATCAATCTGCAAAGGCCATTCTCAGTAGAGATCAGCCAGAAAGCCACCCTGATTCACGAAGAACTACTTCCGAATTTAGCAAAATGTCTGCTCTGTGGAGTCCAGTGGCTCGTTGATGCACTTCCTAGGCATCCGGCTTTGAGCACAAAACAGGGTGCCCCACTTCTACCCCCAATGTGGTGAACACAATATTCGACACAAGGGCACATTCTACAACACTTGTTGTATTAGACCATTCTGGATCACCATATGAGAGCGGCATCCCTTCCATGAAGCTGCGCCTCTTCAGAAGATGTTGCCAATATGGCTGCCTGGACTGCACATCAACAGCCACATCACAATGGTCAATGGATGCATTCAGCACTCTGCATCTCTGGTGCCGCTGCGCCATGCCATTCGGAGGTCCCTCTTGGACATAACAGTGCTTCACCGTCACCAACACTTGATGTGAATTGGTCACTTCGCTGTGTAGACATCAGGGGCATTCCACCCCAAAGGCAATGCCAATGTACATAACCAGCACCAGCACATGAGAACCATTAAATGCAAGAATCCATGAGGGGGGCACACGACGCACTGGATTTCAAAGCAGGCTTTCGACAGGACTGTGACACTATGGGGTATCGGTGCAGCCATTTTCCTCACAACGGCGACAACCACCACGATCGAAAATCGGGCATTGGGCGCCGTGGCCGGAGAATGCTGATCAATTATTGTCCGCATCATTGGCACCGACACACGAATCAATCAGCCCACGTCACTCACGTACTGAGGTCCAGGACTGGACTTTCTCCAGCATGGTTCCTGCGTCGCTCCTATGTCCCTTCTGCCGCAATTGCGAGATGAACTTGGCAATTATTTTGTTGGGACGTCGCATTTCTTAAGTACATTACACGGCCACCTCGGTGTCTACCGTGGACTGCAAAGAGCGAAACGGCGGTCGAAAGCGTTCGCTGAGGAGGATGGACGAACTTGTGGTGTGGATGACTTGCTCGGATGCGCCTTGATCGATGCAACCCAGCCCGCGCCGTGCATGGCGATGACGCTCGCGAAACGGAGGAAACCGATGCACGTACCAGATCCCTTGATGCAGCTGGGGTGAGACCACAGTTGCGCCTTGGGCGCTGCGCCAGCCTTGACGCTCCGGTCCACGGTCTCACCTTCGGGCACCACCTGCTTGAAGCGTCTCACAACTTCCGCCTTTTTGCACCTATTTATGGGTTTGCGGCCAGTATCGATAGGAAGGTCTAAAAACAAGGGGTGTGGCAGCCACTCGCGAAGACACGTGACATGACAAATTCGGCCGAGGACTGCCAGGGTCCGTGTCGGACCTTATCCGATCCCGTGTAGGAGCCAGAAGTGGAGGCCCCACCGTTAGTCACAGCACTGTGAAGGGCAAAGATCGCCGACTACGACACCAACCAGGAAGTTGTGGCAGGAGCAAGGCGGCGGCAAGGGGCTGTCTGGTTGCTGCGGGGCATTCAGGCAAAGTTCCAGACAAGCGGGTGTGGGCGGATTCCAGCTGGAAACTTTCCAGGGCCCACCTGCAGCTGGTTGCCTTGCCTTGCGCCCAGCATCCTGGCGCCCTGGCCATAAGTGTGCACGGATGTGGGTGCCGGCGCGGTGCGGTTAGGCGCCAAGTTGCAAACGGAATTTTTTATACTCGGTAGTTTGCTGCTGGACCCGCACGTGCATTTCAAGCCTCAAACGCCCGCCAGGATCGTGGGTGTGGTCGTTGCGTGCCTCGAGATCAGGCCTCTTGGGCATTTGCATTCCCTCCCGATGCCCATCGGCGCCATGTGATAAAAACGCCTGCCAAGACAGCCAAGACTAGGCAGGAAAGTCTGTGCCAAAGCGAAGGGGCTCATGCCTTCCGTTCAGGAGCTTGTCAAGTACCAAGTTCGCCCGACCCGGGGCGACGTGAGAACGTCGCCAAGAACGACGGGGCGATCGCTGATCTGTCACGCCGGCCGGCCTTCCAGGCCCCGCTTCCATGCGCCACGAATGGCCACCGCGCTCCTCCTTCCAAGAGGAGGAGGGTGACTCCTTGCCTCCTGCGCAGCATCCGCCTCGCTTGCACGGCAGCTGTGGGGAGTGGCGCCCCAGCCGCCAAAGTTCACAGCGGATCGGCTTCAGTCGAAATCATCACGAATAGACGTGGCATCAATTGTCCATGCTTCTCACACGACACAATGAGTCGACTGCCGAGAGAAGCAACCCCTCACCATCGTGTCGCCGCGCACATGGGAGGTTTGCTACTGCCTTTCAAAAATCTTGCCACTTGTCCAATTCGCGCAAACGAAAGTGAAAACATGCGGGTTAGAAAATTTGACTGGAACAACACCTACTTGCCCTGCTACGAGCTATCTGTAGAGAACCGGAACGCCGCAAAAGGTGCCGTCATTCTTGAGATATGTCAGGACTAGCGCTAATCAGGTGCTGCCTTCGGCATGGGATGGGGCATGATGATCGTCATTAGGCTCGCAAGCTCATATTTGCCATTGACAAAAGTGAGTGAATGAATGAATGAACGTCCCTAATGGCAGCATGCAAAAGTGACACACTGTTCATGTCACATGTCTCCTCGGAACTTAGCTAGTCAAACAGAGTTCCTTTGCTAGCAGTCTACAATTACCTCACAACAATTGGCAAAAACCCCAAACCCACGCATCAATCTGGCATTGATAGAGGCGGATCATACTGCCGCCCACGTTAACCTGGCCTCATACTAGAATTACATTTTGCTTGACTCAACCACAATACTACGCAAAGCATTGTGCTTGGGCGTTCGCACTTTTGGGCCATCCCAAACGTGGGGCAAATGGTGATGGGGAAGGGGCTGACCCTGCCCGTGTGGTTGAGAGGCTGCGGTGGGAAACCGAGGGCTTTGTCACGGGCGATAGTCCTGAGACACCTGCAGCGATCAAAACGCACGTGGGCACAGGGCGGGAGGGATGGGGGGAGGCTTGAGAGGGGTTGGTAATCGCCAGCCATCTTATCGGGTAAGGACTCAGACCCATACCGGCACAACAAAGCAACCTGTGGGTGCACAGTCGCCACCTTTAGTCGCACGCAGTGTCTCCTACAACTACCACTGGCTGCTGCCTCGCTTGGCATATACAATCGATAGGGTTGAGTTTGCCAACCCATAGCCCGGCCATCAAGGCGCTTGGGCATCATCAAGACACCACAATCTATAGTGTGCTTTGGCGAGGCCATAAGTGGTGGTCAGGTGGGACCCATGGCAATACCCATTAACTAAAAAAAACCAAGATCTTGGAAGGTGGGCAGCTGCTTTTGGGCGCCAGTGGTGTGAAGGGGAGGAGATGAAGCAGGTTGATGACCAACGAGACAGATGAGACTTGCCTTCCCCATTGTGACGTTGCTGCTTGGGGTCAGGCATTATTAGTATTTTCTAGAGTTTTATTTAGCAATCTCTATAAATCGGCTTATTTAAGAGCTTTTGATGCCCCTAAGTTTTGAAATGCCCAAATCCATTAAGAATTGATGAATTTATTGCCCTATGAAATTATAGTACTTAGGGCTTTAGATAGATGGGGGCTAGCACTTAAGTCTATAGGGACATGGGTTGGCCTTGGGTGAATGGAGGATAGTGACGATGTGCCTGGATGTGCACTTGTGCTGCTTTGTCGTGATGTGATTGCAATGGACCTGCGATCGGGCATTGCGCATGCAATAAGTGTGCGTGTTTGCATTGAATTTATATAACACGTTTGGCTCACTCTCTGGCCTCCCACGAGCTAGCGAACCACCATACTATTGTACCCCCACCTCTCGCTGACAACAGGCCTTAGGGATCAATCCCCATCGAGCATTGAGCCCACCGCACGACCACAGGAGCGACTGCCCCGGATACGCCCACCGTCCAAGGTGGAGAGGCCGGCTGACCTCCAACAGTTGTGATATAAGGCAGGGCGACCCCAACGCCTCCGAAAACCAGTGGCCACCGTTGGGGCTGCAATACCCGTGACCTGCAAGTTAATTATGATGCCCCATACGCAAATGAGCAGGCAACATAAGCTGCCGATCGCGTGGGCGGTGCTGCACACACAAATTTAACATTCAATTCATAGCCTACACTTGAGGGCAACCAATTGAACTTCGAGGAGGCCATTGGCGGGGCGCCCATAGGATGGACGAGCAGCACCTAGGTTGCAAGGCAATGCACTGGGCCAAACAATGCAATGCTCACTACCTCAAGTGCTTTAAGCAATCGTGCAAACTATCATAGATTGCTACCTCCCCCTAAACTGCCCCCCCTGGCCCCCACCCCCACTCCCACTTCTACCCCGCCGCACCCCACCCCACGTTGGGGCCGATCGGCCATTGCCACCCACAACCTCAAGAAGGCTTACATGCCAACCAGTCACAGATCTACACCCATAGTTAGCACTAGGCCCATGGCCAAGAATCGACCATCAATGGCCAAACAGACAATCCCAATTGCCAACCAAAAAGCCGACAGAGGGGCTGCCTCTTCGCCAATGGCAGTCGCCTGTTGAGAAAGATGTTTGGGGAGAGGGGGCACCGCCAGCCATCCCCATCAAAAGTTTGGGGGGACAGGTTGACAGTGGTTTGAAAATTGCCAATTTTGCGATGGCGATCTGGCACCAACTAAAGATAGCCTCAATATCCCTATGCAAAACCAAGGTCGCTCAGTTTTGCTCTGCATAAGGGACTTGGAGCAGCCTTGCTGGGTGGCGGCAGTGGTTGAGAACGTCTTTGACATGTAAGCGGGGTGATCGCAGCAAGGCAAATCTGAAATTTGATGTTTAACATCAAATTTTTGATCGCCAGCTTTACGATCGTCTTCAAGGTTCGTTTAAAGCCTGCTTCTAAGATGTGCTCTGTGCGCCTTTGGGCTGCTTGGTGGGCGTAAACGCTGCCTTGGGAGGATGGGCGTTTTTAGATTGGCAGTTTGGGATGTCTGCAGTATTTTATGTGCGTTTTCTGTGGCGGATGGGAGGGAAACAAGAGAATATCAACGGCTAGGGCACGTGGACGGCTCCCTAGAGGTGAGGCGCGAGCATAGTCCTCGGGCCCATTAGTTTTGAACCCGTTGAGATGCCCCTATTAGGTTTTGGCCACATCTGATGGGCAATATGCCCACCCATGAATTTGATTAGCGAGATCATATGAAGCACCCAAGCACATCTACAAACTGTACGCTTCACCTTAGGAAACAATAGATTTGCAAATGAATATTGCAAAGAAATAATAACTTGCTCCTCTCCCTTTCTTGTGATGTGGTTTGCTTGAGATCCATCCTGACACACGGTGATGGCAGATGGTGAATTCAAACATATGTTCAACATTATGCATGCATGCAGCCATGTCGCTAAAATGCACACCTGAACAACACTGCCAGAACACGCGACTCCTCGGGGCGACTTGTTGGGTGCACCGGGTTCTTTGGCAAATCAGCGTTCTTGGATCGCCGAATTGGCAGAACTAAAGTACATTAGATGCTGTCTCTCGTGGGAGTGGGAGGGAAACCGAGAATGAAGCCCCTGCTAAGGCATTAAAGGGGCTCCCCAGATGAAGAAACTTGAGCCCAATCCACAAGCAACTAGTTCTCAAGCATCGGAGATGGCCAGATCGTTTTTGATCGGGTCTCGACCAATTCTGATGGGCAACATGTCCCTACCCACGTACTTGATTGGCAACACTTCCAAGCAACACAAGCCGATCTAGAGACGATCCGAAGATGGGAACAGTAGCTGACGTGGAAAAACCTTGAAAATAGCAAAGCAAATTTTGCCTCCCAGCCTTGTGGTGCTGCGGTTCGAGGGAGTTCCATTACAGCGCATGATGAATGGAGGTAAGTGGCGAAATTCAAGCACACAGCCATGCTGCTACAACGCAATGCATAGCACACATAGCAGCAACGTCCTAGATAAGGGTAAGGAAGCACCATTGGTTGCTTCCATTCCACATATTCTTGTAAGAATACTCCCAATCAAAAACCAACATACTGTATTTACCCGGGATTAGTAGGCTTGTATTGGACCCCACAAATGTATACTAAAGCGGTTTGGGCCCCTAATCTCAAAGTGTAGAAAGAGAAGATTTTTGACAAGTAGGCTGTGAAGTGCCCAGAAATGGGCAAGAATGGCAATGCTAGTGCGGAATGTTGTCAGCCTCTTCACGGGAGCTGGCAACCTTGAATTGGGGCTGCACCAGGTGGTGGCGACTGGCGATTAGGGCCAAAAGGGTTTCGCTGGAATGCTCGAGGCGCGTTTTCCTCTGCAATGCAAAGAACGAGGACCGACATGGGTCTCGGCTCACTGGGGCGCATCGTCGCAACGATAAGCTTGAAACGCGGCGCTTTCCCAGGTTGATGGTGGCTGGGAAGGCTGATGTGATCTGCGATTGTGTTTGTGGCCTGGTAGCTAGTGTGATGTGCTATTTGGGGACGCGCCCGGCCTTGGCAGCATTTTGTGGGCAGTTTTGAAAGGCGGGGTCTCACAACGGCAGCCGCCCCGACCAACACCGTCGTCTGCCCATTCCTGGCGCTGGGCCTTGCTGCGCCCTTGGCAGGTGGCAGGCCGGAACCTACACTGGCCGGCCGGGGAGCAGGTTAAGTTAATCCAGAAACAGGGCGGCTTTGACATCTCGACCGCTTCTTTGATTGGGCCCCACGGCATAGGTCGATGCCCTGCGATCCTGCGCAATGGGCGGCAATGGCGGCCAGTCGACCTTGCGGCCCTTCGTGGGCCCTTTTTCAAATTCTCCCTCAACAGCATCCACTCCGACCCGATCGTCACCGTCGATGTGCGAATCGCAGGGAACACAGTTTGGTCTTGACTAGGCAATGCAGTCCAACACCAGCCGCCGAGTTCCCTTGTCACCAACCATTCCTTCGCTCGCTTCTGTCTGTGTACGGGGAGGGATACTAACACCGGGTCATGAATACTAACGTGGTTTCGACCCCCAAAGAGGAGGGTTGATACTAAAAGGGGGTGCCCACTAATACCGGGTAAATACAGCATGACAATGATAAAATCTGAAAATCCACATATCGCAAAAGCTCCAAATTGCAGCCATCGTTTCACTCTCTTTCCACCACTGTGGAATGCGCAGAATACAACTAATTTTACACTCAAAATGTGTTAATTCGAAAGAATCGAAATTCGAGTGCCGGGAGCCTGTGGGCCGGATAAACCCACAGGAGCCCCATACGCGTGGAACGCGCAGAGTTCTGGCCTAGCAGAGGCATTGCCGAGCCATTTCGTCTGCGTTAGAACTGCAGCTGGCATTTGACCAGATTCCTTAAGCAAACATCGGAGATCGCCACAAAATTGGTCTCGACAACAGCGGCGCGAAAGTCGGGGTGACAGGCCAAGAGGCAACTCAAAACGGTGAGAGACTTCAAGCAAAATTTGGCCTTGAAAGAGGGAGTGTGCAACAGGTTCATTGTAAGGTCAAGGGTTCCGGAGTGGGGCCCAGCCCTGCATCTTTAGGTGGTTCAAACCATGGCATAGCGGGTGGATCCCACCACAATGTCCACCCTGGTATTGTGCGTTGTATGAAGAAAGCGTTTTGAAAGCAATGAAGACGACAATGCCATGGGTTCGGGGTGTAGGGAGATGGGCGTTTTAATCCCGAAGGGCAGCGAACGGTTACTTGGTTTCGAAGCGAGCTCACTGAGACTTCCATGCTGACTAGCATGAGAGGTCGTCGACTTACCGCAATATAATACAGATCAGCATAACGTAGGTTTCGTGCTGGTGTTGAGCAACGCCGTGCACATTCCTCCGGGACGGGTCGCCTGTTCAAGTACAAGACCATGGCAGCGCACAACCGGCAACACACCGGCAGTACGGAGCATTAAACACGTGCCTCCAACCCAAACTCATCATCCCAAGGCGTCCGCATTCGTGTACTGAGACCTACAGGATATGCGCAGGACTTCCGCAAAAGCGTCCAGATAGCTGTGCACACCTCACTAAAAGCTACCAGGGTCCTTGAAAGTCAATGAATTCAATTCGCAACATGCTTTCTGAGGGCTCCACTGCATCCACGGCCATTCTAGAAGCCGAGGATTTGTAAAGCATGCGGCCTGTCGAAATCTCTGCTGGACTTCCACCTCGCGTTGTTCTTCACCCTCACGATGCAAGCGCCATCGCTGTTCTTCACGACCTTGTGCGCTTCCACCGACGGCGTCACGTTACGGACCATCAGGTCTCCGCCCACCTGCGCCAGCCTCAGCTCACTCAGTCTGTCGAGGACTTCGGTACCCCCCGCGCCCCCGGCCTGCGCAGCTGTGATTCTCACCCTCCCGGCGGTGTTCGCTTTGATGAACACCACCCGAGAGGCCACCAACACTTCCACGACGAGGAACATGTCCCTCCTCAACTCCCCGTTGTTCGGGCCAGACTTCGCGTGCTTCACCGCCCACTTGAACATGGCTTCGGCCTTGTGGCGATTGGCGAAGGAGTGCCACTCCTTGGGGGTCGCGCTGAAGATGTAGTTCTCGCCCTTGCCCCCGAATTCCAGTTCCACAGCCACCCTGTCTCCCATCTCCTGCACGCTCCTGGCCTTGTTCACGCTCCTGTAATGAATGTCTGTACCCTGAGCGTCCCTCGTCTCCGTTTTGAACGCGTTTTCCACACTTGAGCTGTCGCCCTTGCCCTTCATCTTGTGAACGATCTCCTTCAGAGTGTCCAGGGCCATCACACGCTTCTTTTGCTTGCCGCCCTCCCAGATGTCGCCGACCTTCATGTCGAAGAGGTCCGTGCTCGTGCAGGGGCTGCCATTGTAATCTTCCATTACGCACTTCTTCAGACTGTGGCCATTCGAGCTGACAGCTTTCCACGGTGTGACGCTTCCTGGTTGCGGCTCAGGAGATATTTCTGCGATGCTGCTGGTTCCCGGCTGCGCGGCATTGGAGAACTCCTGTGTCGCAGTGGACACAAATGTGAATCAGAAGGCAGATATATGTGATGCACTTCCTCTTTCCCATATTGATTTTCGTCCATTTGAAAGAAATTCGGGTCACAATAACGACATCTGAATGACAAAAGGAGGCCAACATCAGAAATGTCGCACCCACTGACATCAACTTATTTATGCGCAGCCTGCTTTTACGTTTCTACGCGTAAATAGTTTGCTAAAATGCTTGAAAATGAAATCTTTGTACCTGAAGACAGTACACACAAACTCAGGGAATCTGCAGAGCGGCTGCCGTAGCTTCAAGCGCACTGAAGTATGCATAAGACGATCTTTTGTTCGGCGACGTCATTGTCCTTGCTGAGGGTAAGCTGGGTGCTGTGCCGCCTGTTCTGGAGAGAGTGGAGGAATAATCGTTGATTGGGACATCATCATGCAACCTGAGGGGGTCGACGAGCCGTAAATGTACGCAAATATGGCCGTAAAAATGGCCTTTTCTCGATTTACGCGATTTTACGTGGCGAAACGTAAACACAGAAATGAATACACAAATATAAAGACGAAGCCTGGCTCAGAACAATAATTAGAATGAGGTAGGAAAGACAAAGTATTGGTAAGCAACAGGTCTTGTATCGGTTTTGTTTGACGAAATGTCTTAATTACAGAATCGAATGCTCGATTCCATTCGCTATGTCAAAAACGTGAAGTGTGCACCACTATGCATCCATCCACTATGCCATCCATCCAATTAGGAAACCGCTCACCACCAATTACAGTTTTGAAGGCCCTTTATCGATGCTTTGCAATCACAATAGCGCATTGTCGTCAGGAATGTTAGCGCCAGCTGATGTTGGTGAAAATCGGCGCAAAGTTCAAAATCAATTAGACCTGGGCGTCGGTTTGCACACATCAAAACTGCTTAAACGACTAGATGCTCGAAGGTTGGCTGCAAATGCCATTCCAGAAGTTTCAATTGTGAATCTCTTTGAAACTTGTCCAAGCTGCTCAAAGTCGAACTCAAAATCCACCGAGAACTACGGAGAGTTTGCACTGCAAGCCAGCTCCTGCCCACATTTGGAGCTTGGCGAACAACGAGCGTAAAAGAAGAATTTGCCACATACATAATGGAGGCAAGTTCACGCATTCAGGTATCTGATCTGAGGCTGTGTGCCAATAAGGGGGTGCAATTTTTAGCTGCAGTTGCTTTCGTTTCACATGCCTGGGGTGAAATCCAAATCATAACATGACGATCTTTGCACAAGATCACCAACCGGCAGAGCGTCTCTCTGCGAAACGCTTCTCCAGCAACCCACTGGACGCAAACTTGAGATAGGATTGAAATGCCCCTGTTTGCATGTTCAAGCCTTTTCTGTGGAGTCCTCGCGACTTTGCATTGCTTTTCAGTCTCTCAAACAAACATTGGGAATCAAGGAGTGTCCAAAAGGGTATTCACCTCTGAAGCATTCGAGGATGAGTCGTCGCCGCCAGGTTCTTGCACTGTGTATTCTTTAGGTGGAGGGCTCGCTGCCGCCTGCCATGCACAATTAACCAATTCCGTACAGCCCTTCAAATATTTGGAAAAGCGTAAATGCTGTCGTTGCCGAGCGCAAGCAGCCACCAATTCAGAAGGTGCTCGCTGTTATGCAACAGGAATGCGGTGTGTGCTGTACGTGTTCCTGATGAAATTGGCAGTTTGAAATGCAGTTTTTGACCCTAAAGGATGAAAGCTGTGAGTGGAAAGTGCTCTGCCCGCAACGCAGAGTAGAGCATACAACACAGAGTGTTCCCTCGACAACCGGAGACCTTAAAACGTTCGCTTCCTTACCGCAGGTGGTGTGGTGGAAACTGGGACATCTTCTTCGGTAGTTGGCGATTCCGCTACCTAAACAGATCAAAATCGTGAACGTCGAAGACACAAGATAAGAACAGGTCTGAGTGAAATACACTGCAGCACATTAGATGTGTAGCAGAGGCTGGACTACATTCCTCTCCCATGCAGACCTCGCTTCTGCGTTAACCATGGATTGAGTTCGAACATTTTCATGACTTTCGTTGCCAGCATACGTTTGTGTTATCGAGCAAAAATCATGGAGTTCCTGAAGCCGTGTTTTCCACCTACGCTGCAGGGATGGCGAACACTGGTAGAAAACAATCTTTATGCGATGCCAGCTGCGATGCTATTTTGACACAAATTGATCCCGTCACAGTGAGTGCGATGACATAAAAAAAGGGGCTGTGATGGCATCAATTTGCGTCAAAATGGCATCGCAGTTGGCATCGCAAACAGGTTGTTTTCTACTGGTGGAAGTTGCATCACGCTCTGCCACCATTGCTCCCGTTCATGCCTACAAAGTTGGGAATGGCTGTCGGGCACCTGTTCGGAATGCTGGGCAATAGAGATTCTAATAGCGCTTCCGATCTCAGTCAAATATGTGATTTATGCAAAACTTCGCTATTCCTAGCGCGGCTCTATCAGGTATTTGATGTAATGACATAACATTATACAGTGGATAGCAAAGAAACAGCCAATGTTTGTTGCCAAATGCCTTATAACACCACTGTACACACAGAGGATCAAAACGCGTTAACGACGCTTGTGTATCGGCCCGATAATCGACATCAAGGTTCTTGCTTTGGCGACCGAACACTTAATCCGCCAGCGAAATCGCGTCGCCTGGCGAAGATATGGGCAGAAAGGCAATCAAATATCCGTGCCACGTGCTCGTTTCCGTGCTCAGGTATCAAGGCAGACCAAAAAGGGTATCCACTGGTCTCTGCAGCATGTGAGTTGCAGATTTTGCTATTAGCCTGCCTCAAATTTTCGCATCGTATGTGTGGTGACGCACCAACCCTCGCGGATACAATCAACGCCTAACGAGCGTAAATGATGGAGTTGGTCGCCAAGGCCTCGTTGCCCTTCCGTTTACTTATTTCACTACAGAGCACAAGCACATGCGTACACCATTCTCAAGACTGGAAAGTGCAAAAAATACTTGGATACAACACGTACGTTTCTTTCGAGACGGGGCGTTGCCCCAATTTGAAATTTAGCCACGCCCGAATCCCCTGATCCAATGCCAGTGATTTACAAGCGAATCTTTTCAGCCGTGCTTTCTTTACCGTGGGTGAAGTAGAATGAACTGTAGGGTTGATGCAGCTTGGCAGTGGCGCCTCCGGTGGTTCATGCGCTCGCTGGGCCCCTGGAACGGAAGGCTCCAAAGGTGGCACGGTTGCCTAAGCAAGGCAGAACAAAAGCAGCATTGAAAACAAAATAACGTTCGTCAACAGTGCTGTGCGCTGAAATGCATGGCAGTGTGCACTTGGCGCAAGCAGAAAAGATTGCGATTATCGCTCATTTTGTGCATTACTTCGGCGGCGCTGATTGTAATTTTGTCAGACATCACACACGTCTATTTGAATCCCAGTCCCCGAATGAGTAACAGCACGCTTCGTGCGTACTGATGCGCGATGCAGCATCCAAACTGGCACTTGCGGCCGTGATTGAACACAGCCACACTTTGCTTAACACGCATGTTAAGCATGATCTTCTTGCATTTTTCACACAAGAATGCTGTAGCTGTGCTGGCAGTCGCAGCCTTCTCCGTGGAATCTACAGCGCACAGTAAATCTACCGATCCCCATCAGACGATTCAGATATGACGTCAGTGATACAAAATGCCAGAGATGACGTGCGCACAAGAATTGCTCAAGCGGCACAAATTTCGTACACCTATGGGAAAGTGCGTGTCGTAATACCTTTGTGTTGGCCCCCATAACCGTTCACCAAGGAATAGCCTTACAACCTGCATGATCTAAAATTAACATTGCCGCACGAAGAATTGATCGAAGTCGAACGCGGCCTCGCCAGTGTGTGACACGGCATAATGAAGTGCAACGAGAGGGCCGAAAATTATCATGCTGTTCACGTCACGTTTCAAAGTACTGCATTCAGGTCCCAGCCGTATTCTGTCAGCATCGAATGTTCACAAGTAGGCAGATTTGGTTCATGGAGATAACACCTTCTCGTTACAAGCAAGAACAGCAAGTGAGCACGACAGAAACAGCTGGTAAGGGTGCAGACACTATAGGAATTGCTGCGGAAGCTTACAGCAGTTACTGCTGAGGCACCAATAATGTAGAGGCAAATTAAATGATGATTTTACCCTCCTGCCGTGATGACACAGCGAGTTGTTTTCTGCGAGTACAATGCGGCAAAACACAGAAAAGGGAAAAGCGCGAAATGCAAGGCGATCTCCAGCAAAACAGAGTGTTGATAATCGTCTCTCCACGAGCATTAACTATGAAATGAAAATAAAATGTGACAATCCTCGAAAGTGGGTGCCCGGTGCTCCTAACAACTAAACACTAGTAAAGATTTGCCAAACTACACAGTCTTGACAATCGTGTACTGTGTTTTGCGTGTGAAAACACGTAAAATTTGTATGTTAATCGTGTACTGATCAAAAACTACATGATTGCTAAAATCGGGTAGTTTGTATAGGTGCACGAAAGTAGCAGCCGTGTCACCGTGGGAAACACGACAAAGAGCACCATTTTACAGGATTTCAGGCGTGTACCAAGCAGCAACCGTGTTAAATCGTGTTCCAAAGTACCCGATTTTTATTATATTTTTGCACAACTGCACACGACTGTACACTGCGTAAAATGGCCGAACTTTTATCCATGGAATTCTCACATACCGCAACACATTGTATGAGTATAAACCAAAAAAACTCAAGGATACAGTGAAATTTCTGCATGAATTGCAGAGTAGCATGCCTGCTAGATTATCTGGGAACATCATCCTACCTTGTGCGCATTGAAAACAAGTTGCCAAATTCTGCTGATGCGAGCGCGCAGATTCGCGACCTGTACAAGAACATCATGCACAAAGCAGTCAAGCATTGCCACGGGTTTCAGTGCAGAGGTCCCCCCCCCCACCCACCCACCCGCCCCACCCACCCAAAAAAAAGAAACATGTTGATCCGCATTAACGTAAGATGGCG